ACCATGCCGGGTCGGGTCAAATACATACCAAATATAGTTATGGACTTAGACATTAATCCAACACGTACACACCAAGGAACTCGACGAGTCCCTCGGGTGACTCGGCCAGTCGACGAGTTAAGCAGGGAACCCGACGAGTGAATGATTGTACTCGTCGAGTCAAGGTCAACATGGACTGTTGACCTTGACTATAGACTTTGACTTTGACCAGGGTTGACCCTGAGGTTATTTATGGGATTGTGTTAAGCTAATCACCTGATGATTATGGGCAGTTGAGGAGTAGCGTGTGAGATATGTCTGATTTCAGCTTATCAGTTCAGCAGTCGAGAGGTGAGTCTTCTCACCATACCAATGGGTATAAGGCACCAAGGCCGACCCATTTTATGATATTTGGTATACTTGCTATGTAGAGGTGTGTGATATGTATGTATGCGTGATATGTTGTAGAGATAGCCTTTGTGGCTAATGGTAGAGACAGCCTTTATGGCTAATGGTAAAGATAGCCTTGTGGCTAATGGTAGAGACAACCTTTATGGTTGATGGTAGAGATAGCCTTGTGGCTAATGGTAGAGATAGCCTTTGTGGCTAACGGTAGAGATAGCTTGTATAGCTAATTGATATGTGCCAATGGTAGAGATAGATTTTATAGTCATTTGATATGTGATATGTGGCAGAAGTAGCTTTTATGGCTAATTGATATGTGGTAATGGTAGAGAGAGCTTTTATAGCTATTTGATACGTGATACGTGGTAGAGTAGCTTTTATAGTTGATTGATATGTGATAACGGTAGAGATAGCTTTTTACAGCTAATACGATATGTATTATGTGGATGTGTGTGTGGGGTATGCTTTGGGGAACTCACTAATCTTTGTGCTTACGGTTTACAGTTTTGGTTTCAGGTTTCATCGTTTTGGAAATGAAGGGCTCGGATTGATCGCAGTGCACACACCTATGATTTCCGCAATGAAGGATTTTGGTTCGAACTCTGATAAATGTTTCTGGTTAACACTGTTTTGGGATGTTTGGAATAAATAGTATCAATGTTTGGGTTGAATTAAAAATGAAATTTTTACCCCTGATTTTTGGGTCGTTACAAGTTGGTATCAGAGCCTTGGTTTGAGGGATTCGGGCATACTTTCGGGTGAGTCTGAACTCAAACTGAGGATATGTAAAGTTTTCAAAAGAAAAATGTTTTTAAGTAAAGAATTTCTAAGACAAGAAAGGGTGTGGTGCATGCAATCAATCGAGCTCAAGTAAGTTTCCCCAGAATACCCACATTTGTTATCTGTTATGATTTGATTATGAATCTGTGAATTGCATGCTAGTTAGGGCTACGGGAGATGCCTGTATATGTTGTATGAGCTGGTAGACTTCCATGCTAGTGTTGAGTAGTCAACAATAGGTTGGCCTGATATGTGGTGCTTGTAGCCGTGAGAATATTGGATGCCATGCTGGAATGAGAATGATAATTGGTATTTGTAACTGCTATGTGTATACTTTCAAAATTGTATACGGTTAGGATCTTATAGCCTTAGAATAATTGATTTGGCCTTATTTCTTGTTCCTTGTCTGGTTGTGGTCCTAGGGTAGAGTCTATTATTCGACAGTCTATTAGATCCTGTTTTGTGTATAATTTGCATGCATAAGGCAACCGACAGGGAGGATGGATGGATGTGGATAGCGCGGGTTGCGATATGTGGGTGGAATGTTCTATGGTAGTGTTTTGGATCAGAGTGTTTCTGCACGAATGTTGCTTGCTTTGTACTTTGTGGAACTCTTGAGTGATGGGAGTCAGCCACTAAGTGGATATGACGATATCCAGGAGGTGGATGGTTGGCATCATGAGGAGTTCCTCAACAGCTGATGGCAGGGTGAGGTTGGGAACCTAGGAAATCCTAGGTTATGCTCCATTGAGATAGTGGGGCAGTTCAGTGAGGTTGGAAGCCTAGTAGGTGCTTCGGTGGATATTGTGTTGCGATTTAGCGGACATTCGGTGCATCAATGGGGTAGGTGACTTAGAGGATTCAGGAGGATTGCTGAGGAAAGTATGGATAGGTGTGGAAGGTAGTATGGGCCCGTACTACTGAAAGCACAGGATCCATACTCGAATCAATGAGAGTCTTGGAGAATCTAAGAAGCCTGGGAAAGAGAAATTTTGATTATGATTGAACCGTGGGGATAGCTGCTGTGCAGACTGTGGATGAGCATGCAAGGAGAAGGACCAGGGCTTGGTCCCGGCTCCGGTGGTGAGCCAGATAGCGGAAGGACTGTCAGGATTTTGAGTTCGCCTAAGATCAAGCGGCAAGGATTGTGCGATCTAGTGCACATTCGGGATTGGAGACCAAGTATCAGGGATAGCTTGTAGCCGGTTTAGAGAAGATATTGCTCCAGTTATTGCAATGTAGTCGTGGCAATTGAGCCAGTGAGTGGGTCAGGGTGCGAGACCCTGGATGATATGGATTCCAAGGCCCGAGGGCGGAAAATTGAATAGGAGTACCTCGAGCAGAGAGGTTCAGGCCATGTGAAGTTAGTGGAGGATCTCGGTAAGAGATCCAGAAGCTTTGATCAGCTTTTGAGAGGTCAGTGGGGTCGGATTCGGTGCAGCGCTTGCAGAAACTGCACGATGGAGTTTCGCCCCAAGGGTTGGATTGTCATTAGGATCAGAATAAAGTATTACATCATGTTCTCAGGATGGTCAGGGGTATCTCAGGAGGAGGTGGTTAGGATTCCTCCAAATGTTTGCGGGTAAGCTATCTTTGCGCATTCCTGGTGTATATCGGGAATTTGCATCACTTGAGTATCGTGATAAGTTGGATCTCGGGTCGGTTTTTGGCCATTGTCTGGGTTAGCAAGGGTTGTCAGATGCCATTTAGCATGTCGATGAATCTTTGAGAGATCTTCAGACGAATGTACCACGCGGAGCGAAATCCGCGTATACCGTGATTGCTCTGAGTCGTTTTCGGATTATGTTCAGTGATCTGAGTTGCTACGGGTGTAGTAGGTTTGGTCACATTGTTAGGGATTGCCCACAGGGGGAAAGCCCATTATATTTGTTGCGATCAGAAGGGTGAAAAGGAGGTCGATCGTTTGAGAATCAGAGAGGAGCGGTGAGTACATCCGCTCTGGCTATTTTGTGGATCACTATTGGACGAGAGGGTAGAGCCGGAGCCCAGCAGGGAGGGGCCCCACTTGCAAGGTCAGATTAGGGAGATCGGAACTCCAACAGACAAGGGTGCGAGCATGGATAGACGTATCATTGGTTGTTATCTCTGGTGGTGGTTGAGTTATACGCACCTTCAAGAAGAGCTATATGCCATCTGCATATTGTGATTTGGGTGGAATAGTACGGGATCATCTCCTATTTTATCGCGGATTTTCCAGCAATTGAGTGTCATTTTGAGTATGGTCGGGGTTGGTTCAAGGGTTCATACGAGGGAATTATGATTAGGTATCAGTAACCTTAGCAATTATGTTTAGGAGGCCTCTCAGAGTTGCCGAGGGAGGGAAGGAGAAGTTGTCGCTGAAGTATTGTGGGAGCATCCGACCTTTGGACTCCGAGATCTGAGTGTGATAACGGTGTGAACAGCCAGAGTCATTGGCATTGTTGGGACACAAGATGTGTTAGTTGGTTTTCGGGAATTGTGTTGGTTGGAAGGGTTATGCATGGTGTTCTAGCTTTGGTAAGCACCGGTCGCCAACAAGGTGAGCATTGGAACGTAATGAGGATTGGGAATCCTGCAATTTTCGTGTGTAGAGCGGACTTAGTTGAATCTAAGTGGGGGAGACCGTCCGGGCATCCAGGTTAGAAGCAGGGGTGAAAGTGATGTAAGGCTACGGGGGAGCCGTAGCATTCACTAGTGGTAGAGAGTGTTGTAAGGCTACGGGGGAGCCGTAGCACTCACTAGCGGTAGAGAGTGTTGTAAGGCTGCAGGGGTACCGTAGCATTCACAGATTCTGTCAGGTGATTTGGACTAGGGTAGGCTAATTCGCAAGATTGTGGGAAAGCCACAACTCTGTAGAATCAGGATCAGAGGTGATTATTCGACCGGTTATCCGTGGGCGAGCCCGGATGGTTATGGGAATTCGACATGGAATTGGTAGAGATTGTTGGGTCAAGGGTTTGAATCCCGAGTTGCAGAATCTTGTGGATATGTGGTGCATGACGCAGTAGGATTACGGATGGGTAAGTTCTGATATTTTGATCTCTTGGGAACCTGGTGGTTGGACCGGGTGCGAGACTGGTAGTCTCGGGGATCAGCCGAGGGTATCTACTTACCAGTCAGGTAAGGGATGTCAGAAGTTATGGTGCATTATGGATCTCGAGGTAGTAGCAGGGTATCGACTCGTTTTCGGAAAGGATTCCAACTCAGGGTTCGCGCATGTTTTCGCGTAGGATTTGTTTCAGTGGGATGAGATTTGGGAGGATAAGGATGCCAAGGGCATCAACTGCAGGATACCAGGGTAATGAATGGGTTTGGTTCGATGGTAGAATAAGCCATCATGATGTGTCCCGGGCTGGTTTCATCAGTTATAAGGCCGCGATATGTTGGAACCAGAAAACGACAGGACAAGGGAGGATGGGAATGACGAAAGACTACCGTATTCGGGTAGCATGATCTATCGTATGGATTCAGTGACAACAGGTTGTCATGTTGGGGTGATTAGATGTGTCAGAAGAGTGGACAGAATCAGGAGTGACGGTATGGCAAATGCAGTTATTATTAGATTAGGTGCCTTTCGAAGGTCGCGTGGGGTGAGTGTGAGGTTTGCTAGTCGATTCAGCAACCGAATGGGAGATCGATATTCCAAAAGTAAGGGAATGGCATTCGGTTATGGTGGGTGAATCCAGTTAGTTGATAGCACTGTTTCGATAAGCATTGGAGAGAGTTGGGAGCGGTTGAGTCCTGTTGCTGTAGTGGACGGTCATGGAATGCATGGGTGACAGTTGTGTCCCTCGAGACAACGAGTGTCGGTACTCATTGGGCTCAAAAGGGTGTCGATGTTGGTAAGAGTTGGATACTTAAGCTTCTTCATGGTTGGAGTGCTCTCAAGGCTTCGCTCTATAGGAGTGGCACCCGATATAAGGAGAAGGGCGGAAGTCCAGGTATAGTGAGTCAGTTCGGATTTGGCCCTGATAGAGCAGGGGGTGTATCATGAAAGTCTGCAGAGGAAGCATACCCATACTTTTACGATGGCAGACTTCGAGGACGAAGTCTAGTTCAAGTGGGGGAGACTTGTAACACCTGTTTCTAGTTTTTGAGGTCATTTATAATTTATAAGGGTTTTGTGCATGAACTCGGCGAGTTGGGAGTCCAACTCGTCGAGTTGGGTCGTGTTTCTAGGACGCGGATTCAAAGTGACTCGGCGAGTCGGAAGGCTCGACTCGACGAGCCTGAGCTGTTTAATGAAAACCCTAATTTTGGAGTTTGCTCCGTATATAAACATCATTATAAACCCTAGTAGCCTCCCTTAACACCATCGAAGGCCGTTTACGGCCGCAAACTTGCTGGAGTATGAAGTGGGAGCATTTGGGAGCTTATCTTTGGGATTTTGGGGAGATTTCTAAGCCTTAAGAGGAAGTATCAAGGGAGAATCACTAGATCAGACATCCTTTTCGTGTTAAGCATCTGTTTGAGGTATTGATCTATTCTTTCAACTGAAGTTTCTTAGATTTCTTTTTGGAAAATTATGGCCATCCTTGAAGGAAATGGAAGCAAGCTTGGATCTGGACATATCACAAGGATATGGTTTCAGATCTGGACCTTCTTAGGTCCCAAGTATCATAAAATTGCATCTTTTATTAATCTTATCCCCTCTCCATGTATGAAAACCTTATTTGAGGGTTAGTTTTGGTGTTATGGCCATGTGAGGCCTTGTATGCACGTAAAGTTTGCAACTTTACGTGTTATCTTCTCTAGTAGAAGACATATCTGAAGTTTGGAACCTTGAGTCCCACTGGAAAAGGCCGTAAACATAAGGGACTAAGGGGGACTCGGCGAGTCGTGCGAGTGACTCGGCGAGTCGAGAGGGTTTTCTCGTGTACGGCCAAGGGTGTACGAACAAGAGTGTACGGCCAAGGGTTTACGGTCAGAGGTGTACGACCGTACACGCCAAGGAACTCGACGAGTTCCTCGGGTGACTCGGCGAGTCGACGAGTTAAGCAGGGAACCCGACGAGTGAATGATTGTACTCGTCGAGTAAAGGTCAACATGGTCTATTGACCTTGACTATAGACTTTGACTTTGACCAGGGTTGACCTTGGGGGTATTTATGGGATTGTGTTAAGCTAATCACCTGATGATTATGGGCAGTTAAGAAGGAGTAGCGTGTGGGATATGTCTGATTTCAGCTTATCAGTTCAACAGTTGAGAGGTGAGTCTTCTCACCATACTAATGGGTCTAAGGCACCAAGGCCGGCCTATTTTATGATATTTGGTATACTTGCTATGTAGAGGTGTGTGATATGTATATATGCGTGATATGCTGTAGAGATAGCCTTTGTGGCTAATGGTAGAGACAGCCTTTATGGCTAATGGTAGAGATAGCCTTGTGGCTAATGGTAGAGACAACCTTTATGGTTGATGGTAGAGATAGCCTTGTGGCTAATGGTAGAGATAACCTTTGTGGCTAACGGTAGAGATAACTTGTATAGCTAATTGATATGTGCCAATGGTAGAGATAGATTTTATAGTCATTTGATATGTGATATGTAGCAGAAGTAGCTTTTATAGCTAATTGATATGTGCTAATGGTAGAGAGAGCTTTTATAGCTATTTGATACATGATACGTGGTAGAGTAGCTTTTATAGCTGATTGATATGTGATAATGGTAGAGATAGCTTTTTACAGCTAATACGATATGTGTTATGTGGATGTGTGTGTGGGGTATGCTTCGGGGGACTCACTAAGCTTTGTGCTTACGGTTTACAATTTTGGTTTCAGGTTTCATCGTTTTGGAAATGAAGGGCTTGGATTGATCGCAATGCACACACCTATGATTTCCGCAATGAAGGATTTTGGGACGAACTCTGATAAATGTTTTTGGTTAACACTGTTTTGGGATGTTTGGAATAAATAGTATCTATGTTTGGGCTGAATTAAAAATGAAATTTTTACCCCTGATTTTTGGGTCGTTACAAAAATGTTGTGTCAGTGTTAGAAGAGTCATTTTATGTGGTGTATAACTAAGATTTGAAGAGGTTATTAACTTGGATTATTATGGGAACAGGTGCCATTTTATCTTGCTGAATTGACAGAGAAGACTAGTCAGGAAGACAGGATAGAGATTTTGAAGGTTGCGCAGGCCAAGTCAAAGGTATTGTTAATAATTTTACCTGTTGAACATATACATATACATGTACATATACTGCAGTGTTTTGCATACATACCTAACTTTGAAGGACATGTCCTTGTGTAGGAGTTTCTTTCATTCTGTGATGGAATGGAGCTTGTACTTGAAGATGAGTTGGAAACATCTGAACAAGGAGGTCATAATAGTTTTGTAGATAGAAGGGCTAAGAAGGTAATATATTAAATTCCCTTGAAACTAACTACTGCTTTCAATAACAATTAACATAAGTTGGGTGGTTGTAGATTGCTCGTTTCAAGCGCCAACGTGTTGCAGAGTCTAAGCTTTTAGAGTTAAAGGAACGCAAAGAACGACGTGGGTGTTAAACTAAAGCTGTAGCCCCACTGTCTACTCCTGTCAATGCCAATGATGTGCTGGATGATGATGACGATGATGCTGATGATGGTGAAGAGGAAAGGGAGGTGAGTTTTAGACTTTCAGCGCATGAATTCATGATTATGTTTGGGCTTCAGTAATTTTATATTATTGTTTTGGTAAATTTGTAGGCATGGCTTACAACAATTTCATTGGCTATCTGCAAGGTTAGTGTGTGTAGTTTTTGAGTAAGTTTCTTGCTTCCATTCTGATGAAACCATATCAATGATGACAGGCTCTTGATCTAACGGAAATGCTGAAGAGGAGGAAATGCTTTCCGCAATAAAGGAAAAGAAAGAGCAGGTATAAGTTGATGAGAAATGGAAAAAGATATGATGGTGATGATGATGTTGAGAGTTTGTGTATTATATTTGCATTTTGCAGGAAGGAGCAATTGAAATTTCAGAGGCTATACTTGAGGAACGTGCGAAAACAGTAGAAGATTGGCATCGAAATGCTGCTGCTCGTGCTAGATACATGAAACCAGCAGCACCAATTACATGTGCTACTTTTGCTCAGGATGTTTTGGAGGGAAGGGCCAAAGTATCACAGCCACACGATCACAAACACCAACAACCGCTGTTGTTTGGGCCGACTAGTCTTGTGCGACCCGGTGGTGGTACAAGCCACATGGAAAGGATTGCTGCATAGGTTTTCCAACCCGGTCACAGGTATCATATTTTTAATGATTGCAATTACCAATTTTATTTTATATGAATATATTGATTGATGATATGTGTTTCAGAATGCCAACAATGAGCATAGAAGAAGCTGGGTTGAAGGAGATGGATATGATGAATAAATGGAAAAAGATGACTGCTAAGATGATAGAAGAAGCCAATACTTCATGGCATAACGACAAGTGGAAGCCCAGAGCAGGTGGTGTTGAGGATGATGATGATGATGAAGATGAAGATAGGGCAAGAGCTTTTGATGACTGGAAAGATGAGAACCCTCGAGGTGCAGGCAATTCAAAGCTCACTCCCTGTGGCTAGCTTTGCTTTTCTGAATATTGCTGCTTCATGTTGTACATGTCATGTCATTCATAATCATTAAGGCAGAGTATATGGAGATTGGTGGATAGATTATATATTTTTGCTATGTAGATTAATGATGAAGGAATAAACAGTATAAAAGATTATGTTATGCATATCACAAAGCTGTCTACTTTATACAACCAGTATTTCCAAGGAAAACCATACCCAAAAGGTCTCTACAACATAATGCCACTTGATCAGTAAATAGGATGAGATCACTTTGGTAACATCAATATCAATCTGATTAGCATCATGAAATAATTATAATCATCTGGTGGCTATTTATCAATAAAATACAGTTAAGCTTTTGTAAAATTTCACCAAACACTTTGCAATCAAATAAAAGTTTTTTTTAGACCTTATGGTTGTGTAAAGATTGGGGTGGGTGATTGTGATCTTTGTTGATCGACTTAACATATTAAAAATATTATAAATTGGGGATCAATTCGGTAAAATGCAATAATTGGAAGTACTAAGAATGTCCGTTGAAAAAGTTGTAGAATCAGCTTTGTCCAACCGCTGTAATTTGAAGGGAATTTTCGTAATTTACTCTTAGAAACTTGAAACACCCCCAGACCCAAACCCAGACCTATATGCAAAGCAAAGCAAAGCAAAGCAGTGCAAAAAGGGCAGTTGGTGACGATGAACAAGTCTTCAACTACAAAGTAACATTTGCACATTCTGACTGTGCGTGCGAGAGACACACAAATTCACAGTCTTCGCAACCCCGATTCATTTCGACTTTCGAGCATCATCATGTTTTCACCTAACCAACAGGTATCGATTTTCCGTTAGGGCTCGCATATCTTCTTGTTTGTTCAACATAGTCGATACTTTTTTTTTTTTTTTAAATCTTTTGGAAAGATATTGAAATGTTTTCTAGGTTGAAATTTTGTGTAGGAGTGAGTATACGACAATTGCTTCGTTAATTAGTAGGATTGGTGCTGGGGGCTATATTTAATTTCCGAATTTTGTATCTCTTCATCTTCTCCTTCTTCTTCGTCTTCTTCCTTGAGAAGGGGAAAACTAGATTGTAGTCCCCCTCCTCCCTTTTTCACCGCACACACACTCCCATTTTTCAAAATGTTTGACCGTTGAAATATATATATGGCTATAAATATAAATATATACTTAACCCTTCATTTATTATTTTCACATCCTATTCCTCCCCCTTCAGTATTCTATAACACACAACACAAATGTCGTCGTCATCTTCTTCGTCTTCTTCTTCTTCATCATCGGATGACTGGGTGATGAAGGCAACAATGTTTGCCGCAACAATGGTAAAAGAAACAATCAACATGTTGGTTGATGAAGCCGAAAGTTCACGTAAAAGAAGAAAAAAATCTGCTTTATGCAGAGATCGTGAAGCTGCACAGAGACATGATCATCTTGTACGTATAATTATTTGGTAAATTAAATTTTAAATATGTATTCAAAATTAAAGTTAAAAAAGTTAGTGAGCCTAATTGCATGCTTCATATACAAGTCAAAGTGGGAATGCAAAACAGCTTGTAGTTGTAAAGGAGAGCAGGTGTGAGATGAAATTGTTTGATCCAGATTTAGAATGAATATTCAGAAACATTTATTCTTACTTTCAGATGCCAGCAGTACATGCACAAGCAAAGCTGTTAAGTGTACAAGTTCCTTCACCTTCACCTTCACCTTCACCAACGCCAACCAACTATGCTGCTGCTGCTCAGAATGACTCATACTCACACTCACCTTATGCTGCTGCTGCTAATGTCATCCATGGAATGCCAAACCCAAACCCTGCATTTTCTCACGCAGAATCACTCGTCTCTTCTTCAAAGGTTGTAAATTCCAATCTTTTAATCAGTTTTTATCAATATTATGGTGGAATATTTTTTTGTATCTTAACACTTATGCTGCTTATTTATCTTTGCAGAAGCTTGAGGATGAACTGCTTTTGCTAGGACGGAATATAAAAGATCATGAAGAAAACATTGAATATCTAAAGACTCAAATAAGCAGCTTAGATGACCAGATTACAGATATTCAAGGTTTTTATCTTTTTCTTTAAATAGCCATATCTGTTCAGTATCCCCTTTTCTTTCTTTCTTTTTTTCTTGAAAAAAAAAAAAGAAATTGTTTCTCATGTCATGTAAATATCTGTTAGTTACTCTTGGAAAGAAACATTCATCAAGCCCACATATGACAGAAGATAAGGATCTCTCTGAGCAGGCAACAGTTGAACATATAATGCAGCATCATAATAAATCCGCTGCTTCCATTGTATGCCAATTCAAGTATCATGGCGCTCATGATGATCATCCAGCTGCTATTAAAGATGTTGTAGGTGTTGTTGCAACTCTTGGAAAAGTTTATGATGATAAACTTAGCAGGTTAGTCACATTGTAGATATATATATATAGTTTTGTAGATGAAATATTGATATGAAACTTGTAGTATGGATGGCAGGCTTCTATCGGAGTACCTTGGGGTGGACACCATGTTAGCATTAGTTTGCATGACATATGATGATGGTGTTAAAGCTCTTGAAACTTATGACACAGAAGGCGCTGTAAGTAAAAGCTGTGGGATTTATGGGGTTGGAGGTTCCGGTTTCATGGAAGGGCGATTCAATGTGATCTGTCTTGAAAATCTGAGACCATATGTAGGGGAGTTTATGGCTGATGACCCACAAAGGAGGCTTGCTCTTGTCAAACCAAAGCTACCCAATGACAGATCTCCACCAGGGTTTCTAGGGTTTGCTGTAAATATGATCCATATTGATATTCCACATCTCTCGTCTCTCACAAGCAATGGATATGGTCTTAGAGAGACTCTTTTTTATAGTCTCTTCTCAAGGCTGCAAGTTTACAGAAGCAGAGCACATATGCTACAGGCACTCCCTTGTATATCTGATGGAGCCATATCACTTGATGGTGGGATCATAAGGACCAATGGTGTCTTTGTTTTTGGCAATATGTAAGAAGAAATTAGATGCTTATTTGTTTGTTTTTATCAAGATGTTAAATTCTTAGTTTGTTTGGTTGTTCATCTGATAGGGAGAAGGAGATGGATGTTAGATTTGCAATAAGTAGTTATCTGCCTGAGAATTTGGTTGAAATTGAAAACAAGTTGAAGGAGTTGAAATGGGAAAAGGAAACACTGGTGGAAACACTGCAAATTGAAGAACCAATCTTGGCAAATATTCGCTACACTTTTGAATTTAAGAAACAGGATTTTGTCAGGTTCATGGCCCAATGCTCACCGTATGCTATGCAGGTAAATCAACATCCTTTCTCAACATCTTTAATTCTTCATCTCCATAAAAATTTCTTTCTCAAATGTTATGCAGTACCCAGTTCCAGCAACTCCAAGAAGATCAACGCCTAGATCATAACTGTTTGCTGAATGAAGATTTTAGTTTGATGTCATTCAAATTGTAGGTTAGGTTATGCAAGTCTATGATTTTGTGTGTGTGATAAAGGGCAGCCAAGCCAAGTAGTGATTCTTATTTAGTTTGTTGTTTGCCCAACATAACCATAACATACATCTGATTGAAGCATGTTTCTGCATAGGACAACATGTTGTACATTGGTGGACCCAAAAAAATTCTAGTTTTGGGGGTAAAAAGATTTCCCAGTGTTTTTTTCAAACAAGATTTGGTCTTTATTTTTTATTTTATTAAGTAATTTAACCACTTTTTAATGTGTATTTGAAAAAAATAACCCAAATTTTTATTTTTTGCAAAAATAACCATTTTGTCTGGAATGAGGCATTCTTGACGAAGAAAAAATATTTTTTTGACCAACTCTGGAATGACATTCTGGATTCCGGACCAAAATTCCGGAATATGAGCAGTACTCCGGAATGCCTAATTCTGGAGTACTGTTCATATTTCGGACTAAAATTTCGGATTTCGGAAAAAAAAAAACTCCGGAATTTCAAGAACAATTTCGAAATCCGAAGAACAATTCCGGAATTTCAAGAAAAAAAAAATCATTTTTTTGCTTAATTTAACAAAAAATTAAACAAACATAATAATATGAACTATATACAATATAAGTGCATAAAATTAGACATTTTATTGAAAAACGATGACATTAAACATTACAAAATGTAGCATTCAGAATCCCAAAAAAACAAAATAATTTCTTTGAAAATTAAAAATTAAAAAAAAATTGAAAAAAGATGAACAGTACTCCGGTATGAACAATATTTCAGAATTAGGCATTCCAGAAAAATAGTTATTTTCAAAATGTGAAAAAATATGGTTATTTTTTTTGAAAACCTCGTTTATAATGGTTAGTTTACTCAATTTTCATTTTTTATTTATTTTATTATAATGAAAATATAAACATAAATAAGGTCTTATTTTTTTACATTTATTCCAAATCTTTGACATAACCCAAAAAGTTAAAACCAAATTGGTCTCTTTTACTTATTAAGCAAATGTCAAAAAACACAACAAGTTTTTTACCTTTTCGATTTTGACACTATTAAATGTTCTTAATTTGAACATCGTGTTTTTCAGTTTTGTTTGGTTTTGATCATTTTTTCGGTCAGCGGATGCAAGAGGATGTGACTTTTTTGATGGTGTGGCGTTGACATGACATGATGATATGTCACTGTTAATATTGAAAAAAAAAAACTAAAGTAGTGATTTTTGTGAAAACTATAATGTGTGTCAAAATAAAAAAAAAATAATAATAAATAATGCCCTTTGTTACATTTACCGGTAAAAAAAGTACAATCAATATTATGGGTTAAAAGTGTTACCTTAAAGATGAAATTATTGAATAAAACATGGCCACCAAAATACACACAAAAGGCTTAGTTCTAGGAAGTGTTAACCTAACAAAAGGCTTAGTTCTAGGAAGTGTTAACCTAGCTCCCTCTTCCATAACAACTCGAGTTATATCTCTTTTTTGACCAACCTTCCATTTGAAGCACTAAACCATCACGCTCAAACCACTTGTGCAAGTTGCATCGCCATTGGCATCTCATGAAACATTCATCTTTCGTTACTTAACAACATCTAGAAGTGTTGTCCTTTAACATTTTCCCGACCCCTTATCAATTACATACACTAACCCTTTGTACATGGGGTTATTGCTCATATACAAGGGGTTATTGCTCATGTAGAAAGGGTTAATGCATATATATGGTTTATTCATTATTCAGATAAAACCAAAATTTCAGGATACTCATTAATATAATAAAAGTTTTATATCGACGTAGAGAGTAAACGAGCAACAAGCTGTGTCGCAACCCTTTTTTTGGATGACAAAACTTATTCTTTTTTAAAATCAATATTCATAGATCTTGGGGTCATAACATTACTATGCATGAAACGTTGGACTCTGTTGAGGAGCTCCACATCATCTGGAGCAAGGAAACCAAAAATATCAAATGTAAAAGATATAAACGTGTGTTGACTGTCCATGTACGCTTTCTCATGTTTTGCCACTTTGCATGATGCAACTTTTAAAGCAACGTGCCCCATAGTCAAAACACCACTTCCCAAGCCCACAAGAGAACCCATGTTAGATCTACACATACATGCTTCTTTCCAGCCCATCAAAAAAACTAAAATGTCAGCTGGTCTAAGTGTTGATCTTCTTTCCAATTGATCAGTCAGAAAGTTCACATGTGCCTTTTTCTTGGCAGAAATCCTGACACGCCTAAATACGTCGAAAAGAATATCTCTAACCAAATCATGTCGGTACTTGAAACTCGGGAACTCTCTACAATGAACTTCATGCTCCTCAAAGGAGTCTAAGCATGCCTTGCAATAAATAGGGCATGTCTCTAATTATACAATTTGGATTGAACTATATGGTTCAAATATCTGTATTTCTGAATTGGTTATAACTGAAACCGAATTATTATTTTGGATCCCGGATTGGTTTTGGTTACAAAATAAGAACTGAATAGTCCAACCAAACCAAATAATATGTATTTTATTTATTTTGTGCTTTTGATATACATTTAGTTAGTTATTAAGATATTATCATTGTTTTTTTAAATAAATTAGAAGTCATATCTAAAATAAAATACCTTAATTAGTATAAGTTTTAATTCACAAATTAACCATTTGCTTTTATTTCTTTCACCTGGTTCATTAAGATGTCATCACATGAAAAGTTTTTGGATTTAAACTTTAAAAATCTAGCTTATTAATGTTAAAATTATATATTCTTTTTAAAATTGCTTGAATCTTGAAAACCAAATAGCAAAAACTGATCCAATCGAGTTATAGTTTGGTTAGTTTGGATTGAATTTTAATATAGTTTGAACTATTTAGATTCATGTTTTTAATTTTTTTTAATCTTGAATAACGAATAGCAAAAACCGATCTAATCGAGTTATAATTTCGTTGGTTCGGATCAGATTTTTAAAATAGTTTGGACTATTTAGATTCATGTTTGTTTGTTTTTTTTTGAATCTTGAAAACCGAATAGTAAAAAAATGATCAAATACAATTATAGTTTGGTTGGTTCGGGTCGGATTTTAATGTAATTTGGACTATTTGGATTCATGTTTTAAAAACCAAAATTAATTTGGATTCACTTGTTTGGATCGGATCGTACCGATCCATTCAAACGAACATCCCTAGCATGTAATTGATAGGGGTTGTTGCTCATCTACAAGGGGTTGATGCTTGTAACTATAAGGGCCACCCGTTAAAATTGAATATAATTGAAAAATGCGATGTTCGAAGTGGAAATAAAACTAACTGTCAAAATCTAAAAGGTAAAATCTTAGTGTCTTTTGTAACATTTTGCCTTTCAATTCTAACATTTTGTTATAAACCTTACAAAAAAAAATTAAAGTTTAATATCCATAGGACATTTAGTTACTTTCTATATTTGATGCTATTAAAGAGAATTATAAAAACATAAACATATTAAACTAATATAAAAATATATTAACTAATATACAAAAGTAAATGAAACCGTTGCGTTTATAATCTGAGAAAAATCTTGATATATCTGATTATCCGTAATAGATGTAGTAAGGGCTACCGAGCGATATGAGATCGATCGTGGTTCGAGTTAATGATCTATTAGGTTTGTCATTTACTTTTTGAAATTTGTAGATATTTTATACATTAGATTTTTTACAAAAAGACCATATTAAATAATAATATTTTTTTTCTAAACAAAATTATTTGAAGTGTTCTACTTGTTTGAATATGTTATAGAGTATATCTTAAACGACCAAACTTACAATCATCATTCCTCTACAAATAGTTTTCTTTGTTTTAGTTGATAAATCTACAGCCGATAAAATACAATTCAATTCAATCCAGTTTCATATAATTAAAATAACCTTTATTTTGTGGTAGTTTAAATTAAAATAACATGTATATAATATTATAGGAAAAAGTGATTTAATTTAGATGCAAGAGAAGGGGAATACAAAAGCAAAGGTTCTACCGAGAATTGAACTCGGGTTACTGGATTCAGAGTCCAATGTCCTAACCGCTAGACCATAGAACCTATTTATTTACTAAGTTGTAAATATTTATTATAACATGTTTAAATAAGATACAAAGATAGTAGTTGGTACTCGTCAGATTTTACCCAAAATATGAAATATAACACCATCCCTTGTTTAATAATTGAGCTTTCCATATAAATCTAGATTATATAATGCAGATTTGTCATCTATTGATGATCTAAATTTGATAAAAAAAAAAAAATAATAAATAAATTCTATTTTCAAAGTTAACGAAATCCTCACTTTTTCTTATTTAACTATTACAAGTTCTAGTTTTTGTTTGTATCTTTACTCATCAATTTGTGATGGCCATCCATTCTAAGAGTTGGATATTTTGTGTTCCTTCCGTGGACAATGTGAATGTACCCTGTGAGATGCATAAAGTACATGTCATCAAGATTCCGAATCTAAAATGAAAAGAAAACACCACATAATTTCAGTTTCATACGAGGAGAAATTTTGCAACTGTTAACCTTTTATTATTAGACTTAAACGCATGGTATGGAATCATTCATCGTTGTAGTTTGTTTTGTAATCAGTATTTGAGAGAGATTAGGGTAAGATTACCTATTTTTTTTTTTTTTTTTTCTTTTGAAAAAGAAAAACTGAATATTTTGTTGCGTGAAAGTTATAAAAAGGAATTCAGGTATATTACACAAGACCGTTGTTGTAAACTATTACCAAAATTAGTATTATTAATTTTTTTTTTACGACATTTGTCAATCTTGCTGTTTCCACTTTCCATCTGATCTTGCTTGTCGTAGTCGTTTGTGCCTCTACATTCTGCTCGCCCTCACAATTCACAATCCACACAATTCACAATTCACAAACAAAAAAAGAAAAGGAATCCAAGATTATCTTCTAGGAATCCAACATTCACATTCACCTTCATCCATGATTTTACTCTAATCAAACCCCCTCAATTTTTTCTGTAAAACAATTAATCGGATTTGTTTTTGGTCGGTTGGTGTTCTTTCCCATCCCCATTCGCAAAGACCCAAAAATTTCCCCCCGAAATGTTTCTGTTATTGTTAATTTAGGTCTAGCTTCTCGTCTCTCAATCCCATTTATTTTATACCTTCATTCCCACAAAAGTTTCCTTAACAAGATCGACCTTTCTTATTGTGTTTTGGGTTTCAGTCACCCGTCATGGCTGCTGCTGTTCTAAGATCAAAATCATCCAGAGCCACAGCTTCTTTATCATCGCTCTCACACTTGAGATACTGTTTGCTAACGCACGATCTTCACACTGGTCCTCTTCCCAATTTCCATCTCACTTGTTCGAGGCCCGCAACAACCAAATTAGATGAATACCAATCTGATAAACCCTTTTTGGTCGCAGGAGAATCTGTTGATAAGGGTTATGGATTTTTAAAGAGTAATAGTAAGTGGAGATTAAGTAATATGTATGGTGGTAGTATTGGTGGTGGCGGTGGCGGTGGTTTTGGAGAGCCGCCTGAGGTCTGGCAACCTCATGGAGATGGTGGTAAGATTGTTCCATTGCCCGGTGCGGGTAACCCAACAACCGACGGGTTCGGGTCAGGTTCTGGAGATGGGAATTGGGGAGGGTCTAATTTGGGTAACAGTTTCCCAACTCCAAAGGAGATCTGTAAAGGACTTGATAAGTTTGTTATTGGTCAAGAAAGAGCTAAAAAGGTTATCCTTCTTCTATCAGTAATGTTCTGGTGGCCTAAAATAAATTTTGTTTTCTTGTGATTTTGATATAAATGGCTCTTTACCATTTTGAAATAAGGAAGCATATTTATGTGGGAATAGTTTACTCAGTAATGCAGTTGGAATAATTTGAAAAAAGAATTTGTGTATTTGCTCCTAAATATTTAGCTGGATATGAAAAGATGTGTGCTTATAATTCCATTCATATATACATACAGGTGCTGTCAGTGGCAGTTTACAATCACTACAAGAGGATCTTTATGGACAGCTCACAAAAGTAAGCACATTGTTCCCTGTGTTGTTTGATTTGGAGAAAGCAATCTGTTTGTTCCATTTTGAGTACGAAAAAGTGATGAGCAAGGACTATATATATATATAT